ATATATATATTTAAATTTTACAAATAATTATATAAAAACTAAATCCATCACTTTACAATATATAGATTAAATGTATAATTTAATTTTTTAAAAATAAAAATTTATTTTACTATTAAATAAAAATTAACGACTGTTTAATCTTAAAAATATTTTAAAAAGTTAGCATAACGTGGAAAAAAATTAAATAATCTTGAAAAAAGAAGAAAATTAAAAAAGAATATAAAAACACAAAGTTTAAAAAATCAAAAGATAAGAGAATTATTATTTCATAAAATATCAAATCAATTAGATAATGAAATAAAATTGAAGATCTTTTAATAAAAATAGGGGACAAGAAATGAGAACATGATGAGTAGACAATGTTAGGTCAATTAAAGCCCCGGGTACAACTGACAGTTGAAACTTTTTTAAATTAAAATTTGATTTATTAGTTAGTGTGTGATTTTTTTAAAAGAAATATATTTAAATTTTTTTAAATATAAATAGAAATTACGAAATCTATAAAAAATAAAATAACGATAATATCAGAGAAATGAATGCAGCAACCCCTCAACTCAATCTGCCTTGTTCCAGCTTTGCAAAAGTTTGTTGAACGCATTCTGGCAACTTCCACCAACCCTAATTGTTGCAGCTCCCAGTTTTAATGATTCACTCGCCACAAGTTGTTTGATTTTCTCACCGATCTCCTCTCCTTTCAACACAACATCCTCACCCCACCCCCAACTCTTCACACACGGGCCCCATCCGAGCACTGCAATCACCTTCACATTTATCCTTTGATCCCCGAACAAACGTTGTGGACATGCCAGCACAGGCACTCCATTCAAGGCAACCTCCACCACCGAATTCCACCCGCAATGGCTTATGAACCAACCCAAAGCCTTATGACTTAGTATTTCACCTTGATTCACCCATTCTTTTACGACCAAACCGTTATTACTACTCTTGATCCTCTGCATGAGTTCATGCTCCAGTATCTAGTCAAAACCTTCTTCTTCCTCTCTGTCAACTATCTTAGTCCTCACCACCCACAAAGAATTTACACCCACTCAAGACTATTCCCATCGATATCTCTCTTATTATATTTAAGTTATAACCAACTTACCTTCTCGAATCATCACAGGGGAAATGGAGATTATTATATTTAAGTTTACCTTGCAGAGCCTGAAGTAGTTGTAACGTGTCAAAGGATCTGAAAGTACCGAATAGAGGCACAGTTTTTAACTTTCAAGCATACAGAAAAACTATAACAAAAATTCTTACAAAACTAGTAGTAAGCGTAGCTGACTTAAGCTCATGAAAGCCAGCGCTCTCTTTCCTCTCCACCTAGTTGAGAAGAAATCCAAATATAAAGCTACCTCCTAGATAGGTTGACAATTAACTCAATTTGGGTTAAGAATAAATGGGTCAGACGTTATTTACACCCTTTTTTCCCCCACCATATCCTGCATGTCTATAGCTTATTACCACCTCAGCAATGGTTCCCTCTGTTCTTTCTCTCTTTTCTTTTCCTTCCAACCAAACAGAAAGGAACATACTACTTACTGACAGATTTGAGGCTATAGCGAAGAAAACAAGAGAGACAGAGACTGCACCATGGTCCAAACCAGCAGCAGCGCACTGTGAAAGGGGGCCAGGTTGGGGAGGGACGGAAATCTAGTTGAAAATAGGCAGCACATTGATCCTTCACCTAATAAATCTAAACAAAACTCCTATTTCAATGCTCCAATAGATTCTTCACAAGATGGATTGATAAAAACAAAATAAAGTTCAAGAGTGTTTTCATTTTGTCCGTAATTTGTGCAATTTGTCCAGAAATTTTCTTCTAATGAGCACACCACTCTCCAGCCACGCACCAAGAGTCACTCATCCTTCAAGCATAGCCCTGGCAGCATCAACCAATTTCGGTCTAAAATCATCTGAAGCTCGGCCAAAAACAGTATATCCTTCCTTGTCCTCTACGTCCACATCTGCTCCATGTCTTATAAGAAGGAGGGCTACCTGTCAACCAAACAAATATAATTTGACTGAAAAAAAATTCCAAAAGTCCACAATATTTTGTAAGATGTTCCCCATCTTAACTCACTATTTAACAGTAATGTAAATCAATATAGTAGCTTAAAACTGACTAGTCTAAATTGTGCATTACTAGCAGTTATGTCAAATGTAACAATAATGATAAGAAAATGAAAAATAGATGCCCGAAATGAGCCGGAATGGGGAGAATAGTCAGCAACCTTCGAACTTATGTTCATTAAAGCTCAAAGAGAGTACCTCCTTGTTCTGACAAATGACTGCATTCATAAGAGGAGTTTGGCCAGCCCTGTCTTCAGCATCAACATCTGCTCCTTCCTCAATTAGGAATTCACATAATGCCGAGTTTCCGGTGCTAGCTGCCCTGTGCAACGGGGTGCATCCTACCTGCATTGAATCACATTATCAGCAGATGAAATGGAAGTTATAATGACAATGCTGCTCGAGAAATGAAAAAAAACTGCGCCTATATAAGGCAAAACAATTTTGTGTGTGAAGTTACAAGCCTTGTCCTTCGAATTAATCTTTGCACCGTGCGAGATCAGAAGTTCAGCAATCTTCAACCGTCCCTTGCTAGCAGCATAGTGGAGAGCCGTGCGGCCACCATCGTTTTTCAAATTAACATTCGCTCCTTCACAAAGGTAAATCGAAAGGAAGTGATAGACATCATCAGCTAGATGCAAAAATTCCCACACTTGAGACAACAATCATAACAACCTACTTATGCCCAATTATCATCCTTGATAATCAAATTTACAGCATAATAAAATTTTGCTCTAAACTCAGGTAGAAGAATCTCAATCAATTTCAGTACATATATGCACAAGTGAATTCAGAAAAAGATTAATGAATTACTACATTAGGATTAACGTGAAAAGTCTCTAACCTTTGCTCAACAGAATTTCCATAATTTCCGAATTACCAATGCTCGCGGCAGAGTGAATCGGCGCCCAGCCTTCTTCATCGGAACTATTCAGAACTGATTCATCAGCGGCAGCTGAGAGTATTTTCACCACCTAACGCAATTGATTCCATTCACATTAACAAATATTTCCAAAAAAAAAAGAGGAAAATTTAGGAGAGAAAGAGGATAGACTTACCTCGGGGTGGGCGGAGGAGGCGGCGACGTGGAGGAGAGACCGACCGTCTTCATTTCGGAGTTTAAGAAACTTGGAGAGCTGGTCTTGCGAGAAGGATTTGAATGTGGAAGAATCGCCGGTCTCCGCCGCTTTGAAGAGGTCTTTATCTTTGATTTGGGGATCTTCTTGTTTCTTTGGAGGATCGACTTCCATATCTACGGTGAGTGTTGTACGGACGAATTCCGGATTTAGGGGTCCTCTTCGAGTTTTGGGGATTTTACATTCGGTGAGCGGTGGTGCTCCTCTCACCGACTGTGTCTCACCGCACTTCAGTTTAAAATAATAGTTTAATGTCTTTTAAATTTTCAAGGAAAAAAAAAACAAGAGTTGAAGCCTAATTAATCAACAGCATTAAAATTTAGTTTTAAAACTTTAATTTACATTAATCTTTTTAATAATTAGAGAAAGAGATTCGAACTTTATTTTTTAGATAAAGAATAATGTATCAATTAATAAATCAAATATTTAAATATTATATTTTTTTTTTCTTATATATAATTTTAACATTTTTAAATGTAATTTATTGTGACAATAAATTATATAATTTTTTTCTTAAATAAAAAAATTAAATTCAAAAAATATTTTTAAAAAATCCCACTCAAGAAAATAACTCCAATAACAATTTGATGTCAGTCAATTGGTAAAAAGTGTTAAATTGTAGTGGGTGGTACTAATTTTATATGAAATAAGTTATTTTTGTCTTTTCTTAAAACCAAAAAACAAAAAAAATTGTTTTTATCCTCCAACTTGCATAAAATGTCAAAATGGATAGAATACAAATAAGATATCACATTTCTAATAAAATATATATTCATATCACATTATTAGTAAATTAAATTATCAACATATATATATAATATCTTATAATATCATTGTCGTCTTCCAAAAATGAATTCATATATTTTTTTTAATTTGAGAAAAAATTTAAATTCAATTTTTAAAATAAAAATATATATACTTATGAATATACTAAATGTTCGAAATCATATTGTTAAAAATTCATATGAAAATGTAAATTTTTAAGTTGATTTAATGATATACCAATTTTTATTAAATATTATGTTAAGCGTTTCATACGATGACATGGATTAACGTTTTGCAGAGAAAGTAATGGACTCGGACACAAGTACTTCTATTGCGAAAATTAGCCATTAGCACGGTGATTCAGTGAGAAACAAAAAGCGAAGATAGAAGTACCGCGAAGGGGTGACCTGAGAACACAACCGGTTGCGGCTGGCTGCATTAGTACTCAGCCTTCCTTTTCATAGCAGCCTGGCAAAGCCCTAGCACGGGCCGAATCGTCTGTGTTCTTAGGTGGCACCCCTTCGTGGTAAACCATCTGGCTGCAGGCAGGTTGGCTGGCTGGCTTTGGCATTAAGAATTGAGGATGGGTTGCTCTCTGCCAGGGTTGGTTCTCCCTTTTAATGCAAGGGTTTTGAGAAAATTGCATGATGACATAATGTGCTCACCCCGCTGATCAGTATCATGTGAATGTTGTCATCTTTTGACCTCTCAAGCCTAATTATTATATTTAAGTATGTAAATCAAGTAATTATGGAAGACATTTTAATATCTATATCAAAATTATTACCTATATTCAACCTGAACCTGTTTATAAACTATTCTAATCTTATTTAAACGGTTTGGATAATACCCATTACATAGTTAGAAGTGACTAAAAAGAAAGGAAATACTAACTAACAAAGACAGGGTATTAATCGAATGCCAGCGCCAGAGTCAAATTGCCCTGTCGGAGTAGTTGCCTAGCTCTTAACCAGCAAGCACCAAGCTTCCCATTAAATGCCTATCGAGTCGTTAAGGCTAGTTGCTCCATTCGTGACGGCATGTTAATTATTGAGCACCTTACACGGGATAGACACGAGTCACAGACGGAGAAGAGAGAGAGAGAGAGAAAATGTGACAGTTGACAATTGACAAAGTACGTGAAAATATCAAGCTTTATCACAGGCTAGGATTGCTCCATCGACAGCTTTGGTTGGATATCATACGGGCGCATAGTGGCACAGAAAAAATATCGAGGGCGAGGCCAATCAAGACTCTCAAAACCGACAAAGGCAAAGGGGAATGTGTGGTAGCCTTGGAACCAATAAACGAACACGTGTTACCGACAGTTTGAAGTGGATCCATAGTTATCCTAACAAGTCAAGAGCGTCTATAAATCCACTTGGATAGAAAGGAGATATTATCACATCTTCGGTATCCTAGTGGCTGATAAACTTTTTGCTAGAGCTCTCTCAGACTTAACAATGGCGTCAGAGAAAGACCACACCCCAACTTCCTCTGAACTGTTCTCTAGTGCTAAGGTGGTAGCCGAGGCAGCAAAATCCACATTCAGCAGTGAAAGCGACAAGGTTGACAAGGGGAAGGTTGCTGGTGCAGCTGCTGATCTTCTAGGTGCTGCCAAAGGCTATGGCAAACTGGATCAGGAGAAGGGAATTGGACAATATGTTGATAAGGCAGAGACTTACCTGCACCAATACGAGTCTTCCGGGCCGACCCCGGCCACCCAAAAGTCTGACACCCCGACCAACCCTGAGCCTGCAAAGTCAGAGCCGCATGCAAGCGGTGGTGATGGCAAGGATTCTGGAAGCGCTGGCGTTGGGGATTACGTCAAGGTGGCTCAGGGTTTCTTCAAGTAAAACTGATTTCGTCTTCTTGTAGTTCCCAGAGCTGTGTTCACTGTTTATGGCTTTTAATCTGTGTTCTTTTTCCTTTCTTCTATGCTGTATGGTCTATGACTCCATCGGAATCTGTGTAATTTGAAGCAATAAACAATAAGTTAGTAGTGAGAATTCTGCTAATCCGTTGCACAAATCTTTAAGAAAATGTTTCTCTGTTTACGTTCAATTTCAATATTTGCCATGGACAATGGTGATTAAATTGACCTTTGGCCAACCTTTTCTCACTTGGACAAAGTCTGGCAGATAAGGTAGGGAATTTGGTCCCCAGTCTGACAAAAATCTTTCTGATCAACTTTTAAATATGAATCAATTCAGAATATAACCCAAGGTTGAATCCATCTCCACTTCTTCCGTAGTGCTTCCTACTATTTGTTTTTATATATTTTTGAAAGCGTATGTAGCCGTGTGCAGTGATAGGTTGCAACCGAACAATCGACCTCAACCAGTCTGTTTTTGTAACCGTTTTTGTAACGGATGATTGTTTTCACAATCGTCAATTATTTTAATCGGTCTCGTCGGCCGATCCGCTTGATCGTCGAAGAACTCTTTCCCCAAACCGATGGCTTTTTTTAAATGAAAAGATAAAACTACTCTTCCTAAACCCCTTAAAGGCTAAAGGCTTTACTCTTTACCCCTTGTGACCTTATCCGACTTTTTACCTAATTTCACCCTTCACCTAATTTTTCCCCTCCTTCCCTTTCCTGCTTTCTGCCTCTTCCTAACTTCCTCTCTCTCTCTATAACCCACCGAAACCAACAGCCAGGCAATCATCTTAAAAACCGATAGAATCGATATTTTTAAAAATTGATTAAAATTAATATTATATTTTATACGATTCGATTAATTATAATATTAAAATTTTTTAATCAATTTTAATAAAAATCAAACTAAAACCGATAAAATAGAGTCATACACACTCATATGCATATGTCACAATTTGATTTGACAAATACAAATTAAGAAACCAAGAATAAGCAAGAATCCTGTTTAGTCTTCACTAGGAAAGGTAACGCGTAGCCGACACTGTAAGGAAGGTTCCCTGCATCGAGGGTCAATGGTCTAATTTTCTATGCCTAAAGGCACAACCAGACATCTATATATCCACTAGGGATAAAAGGCAGATATCATTGCCAATCGTCCTCTTATCTCAATTATTGCTACGCCTGTTCCTGAAGCTATCCTTTCAATGGAGTCAGCTCCTCACAATAAACCAACCTCTCACCAGGAGAAGCACTCCAAAAAATCTTCCTCTGAGCTCCTCTCTAGTGCTAAGTTGGTGGCGGAGGCAGCGAAGAACTCACTGCACCATGAAAGCGATAAGGTTGACAAGGGAAAGGTTGCTGGTGCTGCCGCTGATCTGTTAGGTGCTGCCTCGCACTATGGCAAGCTGGATCAGGAGAAGGGCATTGGTAAGTATGTTGACAAGGCTGAGAATTACCTGCACCAGTACCACTCGTCCCATTCAACCCCCAACACCACTCATTCTGGCCACTCGACCAAACCTGAGAAACAATCCGAGCCGCATGCCAGCGGTGGTCATGGTCAAGGCCACGATGAATCTGGAAGTGGCGGCTATGGGGATTACTTGAAGATGGCTCAAGGTTTCTTGAAGAAACACTGATCAACCCTGTAGTTAAGCGAGCTGTAATGATTGGTTTTCCTTTCTTTTTTTTCCCTTTCTTCCTTACTATATGCTCTATGCAAATTAATCTGTATAATATGCAGCTATAAGTGATTTAGAATTCTGCTAAATCTGTTTTGTCTACTGCAATAATCTTAAGTGAATAGTACCCAATTTTTGTTGTTCAATTGCAATTCAGTATTGACAATCTGGTATAGATCCAAAAGGACTTTTGAAGAATAGTGATTAAATAATTTCTTTGCTAGAAATCCGAGCAGAAAGAACCCTGTTATAATATATACTTTTTCCTTCCAAGATTGAAATCAAGTGGTAATTCAAGAGCTTAACTCATTCCTTCCAAGATTTATGGTTTTGATTTAAACTAATTAAACCATTAGAGCTTAACTCAAATGGTAATTAAGAGTTGGGTGGGATTTGGGTAGAGATGGGAAATTGAAGTCATGGTTCTCCCTCAAGAGAATAAAGAAATAACAGGCAAGAATTGTGGGGGCATTGCAAAACAAGATGAAACTCGGTTTATCTTTTATTCCATAAAATTCTCAACAACAACAATAGTAGAAATAATTGTTGAACTACTCAAGTTTCTGTGGAATGCCATGACCAACAATCTAGCATTTGATGCAAGAATCCTTGTGACCAAACAATTGCATGAGTTCTGGGTACTGTAAATACTATTTTTATTTGTAAATTAATAAAAGATAAATATTTAATTTAATGATAAGTATAATATTTTTATTCTTAAAAAATAGATTTAAATGCTCATTTCTTTGAGTAAATGCAATTTTAATTCTTAGAATAATCATATTATTTTCTTTATCTTTTATAAAAGATTTTTATTTTTACAAGGAAGAAAAAAACCATGCCATAGTTAAACGACGGCGTTTTTAAGCGCGATACGCGCTGTTCTGTTACCGTTCGGACAACAGGTTGGTTTTTATTTATATACAGAGTATGGGGTAATTTCCCTGAACTCGTCGAGGAAGAACAGAGAGAGAAAGAGAGAGAGAGAGAGAGAGAAATCCGAAATCCTATTTCTCTTCTTTTCTCTTTGGATCTCTTCTCTGCTCCCGACGGTCCCAACTCTTTTCCTTTCTCCTCAAATTCAGCTAACTTTCAAGGTAAATCGTCTTCCATTTGTTCTGCGATTTTCGCTTCTGTTCTTTTCCCTCCACCTGCTTCCCACTGTCTTCGAGATTCCAATCTCTGTCCTTGGTTTTTTCTCCTATTTACCTTGCCCACATCCAGACATTCAATTTTGCATTTTATGAGCATAATTATGCTTAAGGATCAAGATTTGAGAGATATTTGAATGATTGACTCCCTTCCTTGGAAATCATCATTTTTATTTTGTTTTTAAGGTTTGGTACAGCTATTGCTGATTGGAAAATGACCACGATTTTCCCGTCTAAGTAGTGAAGAGTTGTTTGCAGTTGTTATTGATTTATTTGTGTTTTATTGTTCTGTCACGATGTGGGGTTTTGCTTCTAATGCCATTGCAAGCATTGGGTTAAAGAGTACAAAAGAAGCCGACAGAGCTTGTTCTGAGTGTTCGGACGATGAGGTGTGCTCAAATGGTAGTAGAGAGGAAGGGTTGGAATGTCCGATTTGTTGGGAATCTTTCAACATTGTTGAGAATGTGCCTTACGTCTTATGGTGTGGTCACACCCTTTGCCAAAATTGTATCTTGGGGCTTCAGCCTGCTGTTTTGAAACTCCCCACTCAGCAAATCAAGATCCCTTTGTTCATTTCTTGCCCGTGGTGCCACTTGATATCGCTCCGGCTGGTTTATGAGGGGAATCTCAAGTTCCCTCGCAAGAATTTCTTCCTTCTATGGATGATTGAGAGCTTAAATGGGGATAGGTATGGCCTTGTGAGGAGAACTTCATCTGGATACAATCAACCGGTTGGCTCTCCGAGATGTAATCTAATGCTTGGAAATCAAGCGACCAGTGGTGTCGTTAGGAGAGGGTCGTATACTCATCGTCCTGAGCAACTCAGTTCTCAAGATAATGATGGCAGAAATAATGTGGAGAGGCATCATTTCTCGCTTCATAAATCGTTGGATTTCTTCATTCACTTTACATCCAAGTTCCCATTGGTCATCATATTCCTTCTAATTGTCTTCTTTGTAATACCGGCGAGTGCTGTTATCTTATTACTCTACTTGCTGGTGACAGTTGCTTTTGCCGTCCCATCTTTCTTGGTACTGTACTTTGCATTCCCTATGTTGGATAGGCTGGTAAGGGAAATAACCTCATGAGATGCTGCATTCTCGCTTCAAAGGTCTGAGGGATTTATGGCTTCTGATGACTTCAATCTCCAGATGAATTCATCTAATGGTGTAATCTCTAAGCCGGCTTCATCCTTCTTCCAATGCTCTCCCCAATGTTTTTATTTGAAATTTAGTAACTCTGTCGCTGGTAACAGGATTTTTTTATCATCCCGAAGCTTTCAGATTAATGTATTGTTTCAATGATGGAGTATGACTACAAAAAGTCTTCAAGGCTGTTTTTGCAATTGTGATCGTGTCCTTGAATTAGATGCCATTGAAGTGGCTGCTCACCTGTTGTACAAGCTTGAGTTCGCAAAAGAATATAATGCAGTTAATTGTGTTGTTTATTTCCTCTCTTTTTTTTTCCGCCTTGATTGTCTTTCTGCATATTGATATAAGATATCTGGTACTTCAAATTGTTGCATGCTTGATTTAGAGTTCAGGTAAATGGTTTTGCTAGTTGCTTGATTTTCTAGCCCTTGAGAATTATTATGATTTATTGCAGCATTTAACATGATGACTCTATGGCTTTACTTACTATTATCTTTTAACTGGTTTTTTAAATGTACCAGAATGCAGAAATGGCATAGTTTTTGGTTCAGTCTTCATGTTGATGGTGATTTCAAAGGAAAAGGGGTGGAGGGGTTGTCCTGGTTTTTACTTGGGCTCACATCTAGTACTAGCATCTTATGAACAACTGAAATGGTTCAGCTCTCTAGTTATTACCTTCTACATGTGCCATTCCTTTCGTACTTAATATCTAAAGGAGAGTATTCAAATTCCTTCACAATCAAAATAAGAGAAAACTCATTCTGCAATTGATCACCATATTCCTAGCATTCTAAACATATGATTTGATTTTGAGTAATACAGTCTTGTCGAACTCTAAAGACAATAGGATACATATTTCCTGTATCAGCTACTATATGTCTTCATATATGTTCATACCAAACATAAATTGGTAGAAAGATTTAGTAAAACTACTTGAGGTCCTTTAAGTAATTTCTCATTGAAGCAAGTGTTAAACCATTCAATTACTGATGTCTCGGCTTGTGATTGGCATGCTTGAGTTAGTCACAGCATTGTGAAAATGATTTTTACATATGTGACTTAAAACTTATGACTCTACATAATTAATTACATTCAGCAGCAGAAGCATGTCCTTGGAACTTTTCCTGTTGTTCTAATTATGTTTGCCTTTTCCTTTGCTTTAAGCTCATCATTTCTTTGCCTTGCCTCTGCCTGCGCTCTTGCTCCTTCTGCCACTTGTTTGATATATTCCATTTCATTCCGATATTTGGATAAGGCTCGTGCTCTCTTTTTCTCCAATTCACTCTGGTGCCCCAAGAAATAAGCTGTTAGTTTCTAAGAATTAGTTTGAATTAAAGAAAAAAAAGGGAAATAAATCCAACCTCTGCTTTGCCGAGCTTGTTTTTGGCTTTCTTCTTCTTCTTTTCCTCCCAGGCAAGTATAGTGCTATTTAACTTCATATACCTGTAATCTATTTGTTAGTGAAGAAGATGATATAATAGTAATTGCTTGTTGAATTGAAGATGGACTTTTTAATGTTGGCAAAGCGTTTGTTGTTTCAATACAAGTTGAGTTTCTTCTGGCTTTAATATATTGCTACTAATTGGTTGGTACCATACCATAGTACTTAATAAGCTGCCAATGGATGATTACCGTTCTTTGATCTTGGCCATCTCAGCCTTTTCCCATTCCTCTGCTTTTGTCTCTGGCCTTGCTGCACTCTGTCTTTTCACTTCTATCACTGGAGCCGCAGGTGTAAAGGTAGGAGGCTGTTCAGGTTGTGTTGCTGTAGTTCCAGGTTTTATGGTGGGATGATCGGGTTTTGGTGCTGTGCTTACAGGTTCTATGGTGGGGAGATCAGGTTTTGGTGCTGCCCTTTCACGTTTTTTGGTAGGGAGATCAGGTTTTGGCGCTGCACTTTCTGGTTTCTGATTACTTTTGGGTTTTGTGCTGCTAGTGCTGCCAATGTGATCTGCAAAAGTAAGAGGTCTATTAAATGATGGAGCAGGTCGAGTCGCCTTTCCATCTGTGGCATCAGTTACTGGCACTTTGCTCTCTGCACTCTCTGAACCTTTCATCGAACCTTCACCTGCCAATTTAATTTTTGTTAAGCAGCAGCAGCATGTAGAAATTCGTAATGCTCTGTTGCATGGATATCTGGGTTCTATTTCTCACACTTTGCATCTTTACCTGAGAATCTTTCAGATACAATTTCAGGTTTCAGTATGGAAAATATCTTACCTTCTCTTCTGCTCTTATCCTCGATCAAAGACGGTTCAAGACCTGCACTGCTCCTTTTTTGATCATGGATGCTTGATTCTGCAATCCTGTCAATGACATATGCAGCAGCTGCAACTGCAACTACTTGCTCTGTATTATGGTTTGAATCATTATTCCAACTCATCATTTGACGAGAAAATTGTTTCTGAAACCAGTTCTGGATTCTCTTCTCTGCAAAACCCAAAATTCAGGTCTGTCATTGTTGCTTCAACTTTTATGTCTTAACTCTCTAAAATGATGATGGAGGATGAAATGCTACCTCCTTTGAAAGATTTAGTTTTTTGTGGTGGTAGCCTTTGGTTTCTAACACTGCTCGACTCTCCTATTGTTCCTCGTACGGCACCAGAAAGTCGTCCCCTGGCACAAGCGGTCAGTCAAATGGCAGCAGATCCCTAAGGACATCAACAACTTACACACGGTGAAAGGAAAGTTTCCAAGCAGATATAATTTTTTACTTCTTCTGCTCAAATTTATCTACACAGCTAGTTTTCTTTTTCCCTATATTATTCACTTCAGTAAGCAATAAGTTTCCATACAAGATTACTGCAATTCCTGTATTTCTAATGTCAGAAACATAACTAGGGGAATTCAATCAGCTATTGGTCTTAATAAACAGTGCAGAAATTTATTGCTTATGGTATTTGATTTCTACTTTCAAAAGGGTTTATATTTAAGGTAAATTCCATTTACACTTTTCGTGATTTCAATTTCTTCCATGTGACTTATTATAATTTTTATTTTTACGTTAATATTTTGCGTATAACTTCTATTCTCATAATAAACTAGATCATTAATTTTACCTACTAAAATAATAAAAATAAATATATTAACTTTGAATTAAAGGTATTTTGCTAACTTTATTAAATACCCGTGAGAACAAAAGTTATTCACAAGATACAATGGAAAAATTTGAGAAAAATCAAAGAGAAAATGTCCCATGTTACTTTTACCTATGTTGAATGAGAGGTGGAAATACCCATGTAATCAGCTTTTCTGTTTAATGAAACTCCAATTGCTTTACCAAAAAGAGAAAGTAGAACTACTTTACCTCATCTGCTTAATCAAAACCTCCATTACAGTTTCAGATGACCCTCACCTGAATATCACAAACTTGTTTTCTGAGCAAAGAATTGGTGTGGGAGGGTGCTGCTGCTGCTGCTTGCTTTTAAGCCTAGAGGAAGGAAGAATTGTTAAGGTAAGTCATAGGCAAAGACAAAAGCAAGCAAGGTTTGGTTATTATGCCTTGCATGCAAAGGTCGGATTGGATCTCAAAGGTGCAGTCACCCAAGAAACGTATTCTTTCCCTTCATGCATTTGGGTTTCTTTAAATAGTAAGATTTATTTATATTATTTCATCTTTTACACACCTTTATGGAAGGTTTCTTTTCCCAAAAGGTTTCTGAAGAATCTTTTTTGGGTATCAGTATTTGTTTGCATTGTTCATGATTCTTCAATTAATATATATTATTTATTAATGTTGTTTTCAAATTATATATATATGTATAATATAAAGTTTAAAATGTAAATAATTGAGAGTTTATAGTTCCTTGGCAAGCTTTTTTTTTGTAAAAAAGAGTTAAATATGGTTATGATTTAGAATTATAATGAAGAAAGAATTCTGAACAAAGTGAATTATTTTTTCAAAGATAGTGATTATTTTTTTGAAATTTAAAATTTTTTGAAGATAGGGATTGAATGTGATTAAAACTTTTAGTTATAGATTGGATAGATTTTATCAATTATTAAATTTTAGAAATATAATGAATAAAGAATTTTAAGTCAAGTGAATGATTTTAATAGAGGTGATTCAATAGAGATGAAATTCATATTAATTTATAATTATACTTGAAAACTATAATCAAATAAAAATAACTTAAAATGATCATAATTAAAATATAACAAATAAATACATTTACTTTTATATATATATATATATATATATTCTTATATTACTACAAACCTTATCTTTCCGAATGATATTAAACTTGAAATTCATGCAATTATAGTTCTCATTTAAACTTTATTAATAAAAGAAAATCGGTTTTGGGTTTCATTATATATCAGCAAAAATCGTTCATTAACAGTATATTTTGATTTTTTTTATTTTGAATTTATGATATACGTAAAAATAACTTTTCCGAATCTTATTTCACTCTAAATAAAAAGAAAATATGAAATAACAATGAAAGTTTAACAAAAAATTAGGCCTAAAGCTCTAATTCCTGAAAAAAAAAAAAGAAACAAAAAATGTGGAATAACTAAGCACAGACTGGAGCATGGAAGTCTTTGATAGTTACGTAAACGATAGAGTGAGATGCAACGGAGATGGGAGTCTTAGGATCCACGCGCGTAGGTTTGAGTTCCGGAATATCGGATTCACCCTTGAGCTTCAATGGATTTCCATTGAGCAACATGACATCGCTTTGGATGTTTCCATCTGCGGGAGTCAAATGGTACTCCTCCCTATTCTGGGAGCCTTTGAACTCGAAGTTGGGCTTAACTTGCATGTCTATGGCGTTGGAAAGGGTGACTTCGAAGGATTTCTCGCCTGACAAGTTGATGAAAAGTAGGGAAATCCCAGGCTGCAGCACACAGACAGAACAGGAATTGATCAAACTTTTCTATCAGAAATCAAGTAAACGAAACGAAGATTTGATCAAAGTATAAGCTTTACCTTTTGTTTTGCACAATGAGCGTACACGCGCAGATGTGGAGAAACATCCTGAGTTGCAGAGATTACTCTACTTCCCATAAGCCGGTGCCATAGGAGAGCTCTGGCAGGAACGAAACAAACCAATATCAGCAGATGGTAAAAGGCTAATGCAACTAAACTCAGCCAGAAAAAAGAATGAAAATAGCTACGGAAATCATCAGGATACTGACCCATAGTAATCAGGATTTGGAACGAATGTTGTAGTGTTCAGGAGAGCATAATTGCCACCAATCAAAGCTTGTCTGCAATAAACCTTGTGATTGAAGTTTGATGTCATACCCAGCTGGTCTAGATACCTGTTTAAGATTTGAAAAGTGAATCATCAGCAAACTGTTTAAGCTGCAAAAGGAAGAAAATTTTAATGGCTGAGAGAAACAAAAGGGACCCACCAAAAGCCATTGGCAAAGGTACGGGACACATCTTTGCCACCACTGTTATAAGCACCACCTGATTCTGAAACCCAAGCTTCTGACCATGGTGCAAACTTCTCGACGATCTTAGCAACATCTTTGAATGTCTGAGCAACTTGACTCAGGTAAAATGGATCTTGAATCTTTGTAATCAGCTTCGGATCATCACCTGCATGCATCATTCAAATCAAGGAAATAAACAATACATTCATACGTACATACATAAAAGATATATATAGAAACATGAATGAATTAGTGCAGTATGTATACCAGGTCCAAGATTGTAGATATGGTGTGTGGTTCCATCAAGAACATCTTGTCCTGTGACTTTCAGGAAGGTCTCAAACCATTCCTCGTCATAAAATCCACCAGGACCTAAGATCTTGGGTTGAGTCTTGGGATCTGGGTACAACTCTCTTACTAGATTCTTAAGTGCTATAGTATCCTTACCATACTGCTTAGCCTCTACCCTTGCAGATACCCCAGACCCACAGAGTTCATTCCCTGACAAAATTTACTGATCAGAATTTGAACCAAAACAAAGGGAATATAAAGCTTCAGGTAGTAATCAATCTTAGTTACCAAATTCATATGAATCGATTTTGTATCCTTTCTTAATACTATACTTCATCAGATCCCTGGAATTGTCCACACGCCAATCACCAACCCAAAGACCCTTGTTAGTTTTAGACTCATTTCTTCCCGAAAGAGCATTCAATCCGAATGTAATCTTTGCTCTGCATTATAATTGAGATTAATAAAGATAGTCATTGATCTCAACATTAAAAAAAAATACTATAAATAAAAAAATTAGTATACCCTGTTCGGTTGAACAAGTTATTTAGCGCGTCCCATCTTTCCATGGGAAGGCACCCTTCGGAGAATCCAAATAAACCATCCTTGACTTTCTTGAAGTGAGGGCACTTCGTAACGTTTCCCACTTTGTACACCACTTGATCTTGCAATGAACCACCGATTCTGATCCTCAAAGGATTGAATGCTGGAAGTAGTTTTCACCACAGTTAGTCTAAAAAAAAACTATTCTCATCAACAATGAAAACCAGCAATTTAAAACTCACCCTTAATTGCACTTGCTAGAATCTTGTTTTCCAAATCCTGCAAACGGACATAATATCACAGAAAAAGGTTATAGATTTCTAAGTAAAATAATATAATTTACATATACTCAAATATAACTATATACATAAATTTACCAGATTGAAAAGTCCAGCTTTTCCCCAAGGACATTGATTATAGTCGCACTTATCTGTTGGCCACCAGTCTAACGTAGCACAGACGAAGTTAGCATCTGTTCTAGCGATTGTAGTTGCTGCTCTAATGGAAACTTTCACGTTTTCTGCCGATGAGAACGACAGACATGAAAGAAGGATGATGAAACAAATTAAACCTTTGAAACCCATCATCATCACAAAATCTGAAAAACTAACAGGAGGAGAGGGATCTGAAAAACTAATACAAGTAATGTTGTTGGATATGGTAGGATTTATATAAATATGGCAAGAGTCCGTTAAAAATTGATAACAATGAAGAAATTATGATCTAGTGAATCTATTAAACTGACTGTTTCATATCAAGTCGAATTGAACTGTATATATATATGTAACAATGAAAAATCAGAATCTCTGTGAATCTATGAACTTGACTGTTTCATGTCAAGTCAAATTGAACTAATGCTTATCACTTTGGTTTTAGTATTAGTTTAGGACTCTTGCATGGCAAAACCAAGGAAAATAAAAGATAGAAAAAGGGTTACCTTGCTTTCGTTGAGAGTTGAACTCAAGACCTCCCGCTTACTAAACGGGTGCTCTAACCAACTGAGCTACGAAAGCTGTCGACGGTGATAAACAAATGATGAAGTCAACACTGTGTCGAGAACCAAGCCCCAGCTGATGGTTACTTTTTTTTTCTAGTAGGCACAGGGAGGTGGCCGTCAAACTCATGTCAAGCGGTAGCAGGAGATGCCTAAAACTATTGGAGAGATGCAAGAACATGAACCAACTAAGGCAAGCTCATGCACAAGCAATCACGTGTGGTCTTGGCACCAACAGCTTTGCTTTAAGCAGGCTCTTAGCTTTCTGCGCAAACCCAAATCGTGGGAGCCTTACCTATGCTTGCAACCTCTTCCAACGCATTGAAAACCCCACAATTTGTATTTGCAACACCATGATCAAAGCTTTGTTTCTCAAAGGTGAAATCTTTAAAACCATCCAACTTTACAATAACATGTTGGATAAGGGCATGCACCCTGATAATTATACTCTGCCTTATGTGTTGAAAGCTTGTGCTAAGGTGCAATATTTTTACTTTGGGGAATTGGTTTATGGTCATTGCTTGAAATTGGGTTTTGTGTTTGATATTTTTGTGGGCAATGCTCTGATTGCTATGTTCTGTGGATTTGATAATGTGAAAGTAGCAAGGTACATTTTTGATGAGATTCCGTGGCCAGATTTTGTTTCATGGACAGTTATGATTTCTGGGTATGGGAAAATAGGTGATATTGACACTGCAAGATTGCTTTTTGATGAGGCTCCTGTGAAAGATACAGGAATTTGGGGTGCTATGATTTCTGGATATGTAAAAAATAATTGTTTTAAAGAGGGTCTTTATATGTTCAGGCTAATGCAGATGAGTGATATAGAGCCTGATGAGGCTATATATGTGAGCATTCTTTGTGCCTGTGCTCATTTAGGTGCATTAGATACTGGAATTTGGATTCATAAGTATCTGGATAAACAAAAATTTTCATTGAGTCTTCGTTTGAGTACTTGTCTTCTAGATATGTATGCAAAATGTGGGAATTTGGATATAGCTAAAAAGTTGTTTGATGGAATGCAGCAAAGAGATGTTGTAAGCTGGAACGCCATGATTTCTGGGATGGCGATGCATGGAGATGGAGAAAGTGCACTCGAACTGTTTAGGCAAATGGAGAAGGATGGAGTGAGGCCTGATGACATTACTTTCATTGCTGTTTTTAGCGCTTGTAGTTATTCTGGCATGGCATTTGAAGGTCTAACGATACTGGATAGAATGTGTAACGTGTACAACATTGAGCCTAAAAGTGAACATTTTGGGTGTATAATTGACCTACTTAGCCGAGGTGGGTTCTTCGAAGAAGCAAATAAAATAATTCGAAGAATGCCCGATTCGAGCAATCCCTCTGATGAAGCCATTGCCTGGAGAGCATTGCTGAGTTCCTGCTGTAGTAATGGACAATCCAAAATGGCTGAGGTTGCAGCTGAGAAGCTCATGCAACTAGAAGATCATAGTGGGGTGTATGTTTTGCTCTCAAATCTCTATGCTGCCTCAGGAAAATATTATGACGCCAAAATAATAAAACAGATGATGAAAAACCGAGGTGTGAATAAGGTACCAGGTTGCAGCTCTGTCAAGATCAATGGAGTAGTTCATGAGTTTATTGCTGGGGAGAAAAGCCACCCACAAATGGAAGACATACACTTGATTTTGGAAAAGTTAGAAAAGCAAATGGATTACAGGACAATATATATTTAGTCAGTATTGCTGACTGTTTGAGCCCTTACCTGTTGCAGCACCAGTTACTGTTGGGCATAGCATGTAACAAATGAAGCACCAGCAACAGTTTAGTTTTTTGGTTGTTTTTGGTATACCTTCAGCCAAATGTTGGTGTTGAATGAAGGGTCTATAGACCTGCATCTGTGAACAAATCTATACCGACAGTTCTCCAGATTTTTATGGACCCAAAGTGGGTGTTGTCAGTTAAGAGTCACCGTTTTATGGGAGTTTCACATAGTTAAATGGTGGTTTGTGGACAACACATCAAATGTAATGGACAGTAAGGAGGGGCTCAACAATTCTACAGAAGAAAAGATGATAAATGCTTGGAGATCCTCTTGTCTGGTGAAGAGAAAGCCATCTCCATCTGACTTTCCATGTGCTGGTTGCACCAGGCATGCCAATATACTCCTTTCCCCCTTGTCAATAGTTCCTATGTGCACCACTACATTCCTACCCTGTTAGCCAAATTTAGGTAAAAATGCAGTGTTCACGCAGCTGACTCCAAAGGTATACGCTTATAGCTGGTATAGTGATATCCATGTCAGTGTCACCTATAATGCTACTTTTCCTTTTTTGATCAGATCTTGTCATTTTGAATTGTGTAATCATACATTTCAGATCTGCTCCATGTCAAAGGCCTAAACATGTGTTTAGCTTGTTGTCTGAGCGCTTCTTCTCATTTCATCTTAGGTGATTTTGGCCGGCATTTTTTATTATAGGACAAGTTCAGATGCTCCCCTGTAACTAGCAGCATACCCGTCACTGTCACTTTATTGTGATAACAGTGCTATTCCTGGTCTTGGCCAATGATAAAATGTCTCTTTTATGGCAGAAGCTAAGATATCTTGTTTTACCCCAGAATCAAAAGAAAACAATTAAGGTATACTCTTAACCAATCAAAACCTTGGCCTGCTTCTTCTATCAGTTTCCTTCAGTGGGTAAACATTAAGATTTCCATTGCCAGAGAACTAGATAAACCAATGTCAAGGCAAATATGATCACAATTTCCCAAAATTGACATAACAATAAAGAATCCTATATTGCTGGTTTTGACTAAACTAGGAACTCCGAGTCCGTAAGTTCCAAGACGGTGTGGACACCAATTGGGTTCACTCCTGCCCGGAATGAATTTCCTTCAATGTACCTGTAAAGAAAGTACAGTAAATTGTCAATTAACAGACGTTATAAGAGTAGTAAGTTTGTAGGAACAGAGTGCTGAAAAGAACTTGCATTTCTTTCAAGAAGGAATGTTTATAGAGTGCTTCAGGAATTCTTCCTGCAAATTGATTGTGATCTAAATACCTGCAGTTCAAATAAGATCAAATATAAGAACATGTGCGGAGACAAATTCATAAACCGACATGCATTTTTGTATACAAGACTCCAGATACATGCATATAGCATAGATTGCTGTAGTCTGTCGTAATTTTCTTAATTGAAGAAAGAAGCAAGCATGCCACTTAGATCCAACCAGCAAACATGACAGCAAAATGCAAAATTAGCTCAGAAAGCTGGCAGATAAGGCAAACCCATTGACAAAGAGGCATCAATTCAGATGTTGATGCTCCAAGCTTTTAAGAAGAGTCTATTTGACTCACAGACTAAAATCCAGGCAGCTCGATTCATGTAAAATTGAAACTAAAAAACCAGAGACAGATCCGGAAGAAATACAAAGCATCACAAATGTCAAACAAGAAACTTACAAAGAAGTCAACCTAGGGAGATGAGCAACTTCAGATGGTATTACTCCAGACAGTTTGTTGTTGGATAGGTACCTGTAACCCATACAAGAACTGACAAATCAGAGTTAAGACCGGAGCACTCTTTAACATATCCCCAAAGGTTAAACCGCTGTTACTTACAAGATTTCCAAGTTTGTCAGGCTTGCTAACTCTGCTGGAACTCCTCCCGTTAAGTAATTATCGTTCAGGTAACTACATGCCAAAAAGTTTCAAACAAAAGTTACTGCGACAAGCCATTCATTCAATATAACCCAGGGTTTGAAAAAAAAAGAAAAACCAAGAATCATCAACTGAAATGAACTCACAGGTTCCGAAGTGATGGGAAGCAACCATCAGTTCGTATGAGTTGTCTTATAGTACCTACCAAATGATTGTTCCCAACATCCCTACAAAAACAAGGCATGTTTAGATCGGATGTCTGTCCTAAAAATTCAACGGATATGATCATGCATTGATGGAGATAAGTAATCTTACAAGTGCTGAAGTTTCTGCAAGGTGCCTAGCTCTGCTGGAATACGCCCTGAAAAACGGTTCTGATGTAGATATAGATAGCGAAGTTCTGGTAGAGTTGCAAACTCCTTGGGGATTTCCCCTTTGAAACTATTGAAGCTCAGATACCTACAAACAAATTCCATACTAGTATGAAATCAAAAAAGAAAAAAAAAACAACAGTCTATTGAAGCAGTTACTACTTACAGATGTGTTAGACTCTTAAGTTCACCAATTTCAGCAGGAAGTACATCTTGTAGCTTATTCCACCTCAAATTACTAAACCAAACAAACAGAAAAGCAAAGGAATGACATCAAATCAAAGTTCAAAAAGCCTAACAAAAAGTACCCATCATTCCAAAATCTCAGATTCCAGGTATGAAGCTGAAGAACACACATAATTTTGAGAGAAAATAAGGGGAACATACAGTATTTTAAGACGTTTGAGCCGTCCGATTTGAGGCGGGATCGGTCCAGTCAGCTTGTTATTATGCAGATCACTGCGATATGCAATAAACAAATAAATTATTTATTGAAAATACAAATTCAATGATAAGCTAAAAGATCAACCGTACAGTCGTGTAAGATCCAGCAAATTCGTCACCGCAATGGGAAATGGCCCGACGATCGACACTGCATAAACTTCCCTGCAAAATTAAACGAACAAAAAATAAATAAAATAATAAGAAAAACAAATAAACGTAATTAAATTTGAAAACCAAGCGAGGAAAATTACAGTTCGGTGACGACTTTATAGTCACCCTGGAGGGAGCATGTGACTCCAGACCAAGGCGGCAGGTTTCCGTCACCGCAAGGATCGTCACCGACCCAAGCGTACACCACTCTCCACCCCAACGACGCCTTAATTTCGTTCAATGCTTTAACTGCCAAAATCCCAAAATAAAAAAAAAATCAATAAAACAAAGAAGAAAATGAATCTTAATCAAGGAAATCAGGGAAATCACCGTCGCGTTTGAGAGTTTTGGAAGAAGAGAGGCTGAAGAACAGAGAGAAAATGAAGAACAGAGGCAATAAACGCGCCATTGTTTTTCCCTTCTTTTTACGGGAATTGGAGATTGAAGAAGGAAACCATAGTTAAAGAATTCAAAGGAAAGTTCTAAATAATTGGAAATCCGAGTTTCTTCACCGATTGCTGCAGGTGGGAGACAGCATGGGTTTGAGTTCGTTCGAGGAAGACGCGGAAATGGAAATCCTGCTACTTTCGTCGATTTTTTTTTCATTTTAAATTTTCTTTTTTCTTATTGGTTGAGAAGCAGAACTGTGGGCCCGGTCATACATACTTTTCAACGTCGGCAGTTCGGTCGGATCCCATGTGGCGCGGTTTTGTTCACTCTCCATTATACATTAATATTTCTTTTAATACTTAAGAATTTTATCTAAAAACAATTTATATTTTATTTTTAATTAAAATTTTTTAACTTTTTAAATCATATTTAAGAATTTAAAGCACTTGAATATTCGATTTAGTAAATATCGTTGCATGCTTCCTCTTATTTTCTAATATAAAAAAGAATTAAAATTAAAGAATGTAATTATAATTTGTTTTGAAACATTAAATACATAAATTTACTTTTATGTAAAATAGTTATATAAGAATTGATGTTATATTCTAATTAATTTATTTTATATTATTTTAATTTTTATATCAGTTATTGTTATTGTTTTAACGTTAAATTATGAACTTTAGTTATTTCTTTTCTTGTACCAAAATTCCCGGTACTGCATTAAGTGCATGGCTATTTGGAAATAGAAAAAACACTTGCTTTCTACATTTATTTTTCCCCCTTTTTTTTTATAGAGTGTTTCATATATTTTGTTTAATAAAAGATGAAAATTAAATTACTAAGCTAATTTTCTTAATTACATTAATTGATTCTCTAATTAATTTGCATGTTAGAAGAAAGTAGTATAATAATTCTTTAATTAATTCATAAGCTTTTCTTAATGAAACTTTTTCTAGCCATTACCCCCAGTAGCCTAATAAATCAATTCAGCCTACTTATAGTAAAAGCCCTAATTCCTATAATTGCTTGGTTAAGTAACTGAATTGATAAAAAGCCTTACCAATTTAAAGAGTGTAAGATCATAAGATTGTTCGGCTAGTTAATTCTTCTTATATAATACTTTGTTATTTTTTTTATAATTACCAACATGTGAATATCGTTTTTTCTTTATTAAAATTTTGGGAATAATTTCTGATTTCACGAAAGGTATATTGTTAATTTTATTTAATAAAATTATCAAAATATTTTTAATTTAAAATTAACTTGTTTGTTCACATTTAAAAGAGTATTTTGTAATTTTGTCAAGTAAAATTAACAATTTGACAATAAATTATCCATGAGATGCTAATCAATAAAAAATTAATAAAGTATTATATGAGAAAAGTTGAAACCACGAGAAGCAAAGATGAAATTTATTAAAGTATATAGTATTTAATTGGGTAAATATAGCTAATTCAACCAAGAAGAATTATAAAAAAAAAAAAAACACAAATATTCACAAGGGAAAAAGTATATAATTAAACCCCCTAGCAAGAAAAATTACAAAGCATAGATATAAGTAATAGATTGAAGCAAGTTATAGAAACACGACTGCATCAAGGTATTTATTGCCAAAGCTATGCTCCACACAAAGAGAGGTCATCTTGTCCGACAGCTACCAATATTATCTCCTTCGTAGTTCCAAGGTCCATTAATGAAACTCATGGGTTTCTCTTGAATCCCAACTCCCCCCATATCCTTCGATCCTTCCCTTTCATTTGAACCATATACTAACTAAAACAAAAGCAACGGTACGCCATTTCCTGGCTTGTTTTTGCTGCCTTGGTCCCCCCAAAATACATAGGATAGAAATCCAAAAACAAGTATGGAAATGGCAATAGTCTTGTAACGAGAACAGTGAAAGACAGAACAAGAAATTAGCTAATGTCTAATAATATTACTAAATCTGAGCACCGATCACGGCAGCCTAAGCGCCGCCGTCTGGGTTCTTTTCCTTGGTAATAACTGCTGGCTGCAGCTGAATTGACATCTTCTGTTTTTCCATCAGTATCCAATGGAGGAAATGAGAATGAAAGAAAAAAAGGGCAGCTGCGTTTGAAACTCCATGCAGGAAAGGCAACAAGAATTGCAAAGAAAGGCAAAATCTTGGGGAGAATATAGGTTACTTGGTAGAAAAGATGGTGTATGGACAAAGTGGTGGTGAATGAGAGAGATGATGAGTGGAGCTAGGATCAGTTATGAAGAGGGTTGGGCCCTGAGGGGACAAGTCTTTTCTCCACACCGTATCTTGATCGATTTCATTGAGTTCGGATGGTGGCGGTGGTGGTATTGGAGGCAGAAATGATGATGGCAAGAAATTAGGTTGGATTTTGTGGATTCTTTGAAGCTGAAAACAAAGAGACCGTTGCTGTGCACGGGAGAAAGAATCACAAGAGCGGTAGTAGTTGGCGGCCTTGTGGCGGTGGACCTGGTGGTTCAAGCCGTTTCTTGGAGAGGTCCGTGGCAAAGTTGGGGTGCAGGGTTTGAGGAGGAGGAAGAGGAGAAGTATAAAGATCAAAAGGCGGTAACAAGACATGAGGCCAGAGATGAGCGTCGTTGTTCTTGTTGTTCTATCGGTTCGTGAGAAATGGGAAGAGAGGAGAAGGGATAAAACCTGATTGTCGACAGGGGAAGTAGATGAGAGAAGGGAAGATGGTGATGGGCGGGAGGGCTTTAATGCAAAGCAAGACGCACATGAAAAGATATAATTGACCAGGGAAAACAAGCTAGCTAAGGGAGGGAGGCGAGTGGGGGCAAATTTCATAATTTCTCATCAAATTAGTCACGTATTCTTGTATGTGTACGGTTACAAACTGGGATACCGCACAATTGCTGAACCCCCTGTGAATCTACTAACTTATCCAGCCCTTGCAAAGTCCTGAACCCGGATACCAAGCTGTGGCCAAGTCCTTTTCTCCGAGTTTTTACCCACCACTCCCCCCTCATTCTAGAAACCCTGGAAAACAGTAAACTATCAGACAGGTTTTTGTCTAACATTGATGAATCATATTAAGCTCCCTGATAGTTTTAACTCCATGTTCAAGCCTGTGCTGACAATATCCGAGGTCTTTGGTGCTGCAGAGATAAATTGGGGTGGGTGGTACTCCTGCTATGTTAATTAGTCATTCGAGCAAACAAAGTAATAAATGTTAATTGAAATGAATAGGGTTAAAAGACGAAACATGGAGCAAACAGGGTCTGAACCTCTCATTCATTGTCCACTCCTGTCTTTTCACCCTACTGCAAACCCCTGTTCCAGTTTTATCTTTCTACTCCCCCAGACGAACATTTGGGTAAGTTTGATGGTAGAACTGTTAGGATGTTTGATCAGTCTGCTGGAACTAACAGTAATTTAACTGGAAATATTTGATGCATAATAATAGTAAGGACAAAATATCTCTCCCTAAGTTTTAGTCGGATTCGTCAATTTTCGAAATAAATATTTTATTTAAAAAGTATAAATATTATTAATAAAATTTAATAAAATTTTTATTAATTTTAAAAATTATTATTCTATTTTTTTAAAAATTAATAAAAAATGAGCACAGCCCCCAAGAAAAGGCAGCACCAACCAAGGAGGGAAGCCCGATCAGTGCTCGTTAAGGGAGCATGGGGCTCCCCGTTTAGAGAGGTTTTCTTTTTTAATTAATAAAAAATAATAAAATTATATAATTTTAAAAATTAATTAAAAATAAAATTATTTTTTTATTTTTATCTTGTCATCAAATTAACGAAAACACTAATAATTGATTAATAGTTAAACCTAAATGTCAAGAAAAAAATATTTTTTTAAACAGAGTTAAAATTAATAAATTTTCATATAATTTTGATTTAAATTTTAAATAATAATAATAATAATAATAATAATGATGATGATGATGATGACGACAATTGGAAAAATAAGTAATTTACTTGTGAACAGGTAGTAAACTTAATTTAGATGAAGACCATATCATTATAAATTGATAAACTTTCTCTATGTTGCAATCCTTTTCTACTTTATTTAATCCATTTTCGATATTTTTGCCTACTTTGACTTAAAATTTCAATCCTTAATTTGTTTTTTGCTATGCACTATTTAGTCTCCTTCTAATATTGTCACTCATTATTTTACAAAAATTTATCTCTCATATGTGTAGAGAGACTAAGTGACTTTTTAATATCTACCTTACCTTATATATATAAAAAAAATGAACCCGAACCAAAGCTAAATCTACCATTGAAAGTAGCCAATGAAAACGATATCATTTTTATTTGAAATTCTAACTTCCTAATCATTTTCTACAAAAATTTTACGAGGTGACAATGTCATGTATCCATACTTTTAATTTAAAAAATATATATATTCAATCGAGAAAATCTTTTTTTTATAAGTTCAAAATTCATTTTATTTTATCTAATTATGCAGCGCTCGTTATTACATTGAAGACTTATCTTTATCTTTAACTTTCTTTAATTTTAATATCTTTTATAAAAATCTTATAATGAAAAGTTGAAAAAATCTGATATTAATTGTCACAGATTCACTTTTTCAATTCAAATAACGTATTTATTAAGTGAAAGAATACTTTTAGCTATAACCCCAACATCTTTCTTATCTTTTACTTATATAGAAAACTTAACAATTATTCTCAATAAAATAACACAGGGAGGACATACTTTTGAAAAAACAACCTAGTTCCCATCTCAATTTTCATTAATCATTTCATTTGTGGCAATTTGATTTCGATTCATTATTATTGTATACTGGTTTCTTATGCTAGAAAATTCATAGCATTTATAAACATTTTCTATCTTATTTCACATTATTTTGGGAGAATAAGGCAAAATTGATGAAATAAAAAAGTATGGATAACTCTGCACTCTACATCTTATACAAGACTCACTAAATCATTGCAGATATCCAAACATTAGAATATTCTCCCAAAAACGGTACTGTATACTTTATCTTTAGCAGTATTCAAAGCCCATACTTCAGCCATACTTCAGCTGGTTTCTTCTTCTTCCAGCAATCCTCATCGTTTCTTCTCCAGTGTCCGCCATGGTCCTGTTCTTGTTCTTCCTCCTTTCGCTTCTCTCCCAAACCCAATCCAAACCCATCCTCACTGTTTCCCCCCAAACCCTGTCCAAATCCGGCGACCAGGTTCTCATCCAATGGTCCGGCATCGACTCGCCATCCAAACTCGATTGGCTCGGCCTCTACTCGCCCCCCGATTCATCGCACGACAATTTTATCGGTTACAAGTTCCTTTCCTCTTCCCCCACTTGGGAATCTGGGTCGGGCTCCATTTCTCTACCCCTCACCTCCCTCCGCTCCAACTACTCCTTCCGAATCTTCCGATGGTCCGAATCCGAGGTCAACCGGGACCGTCACGATCAGGATCATAACCCCCTCCCGGGCACGGATCATCTGTTGGCGGAATCGGAAAGGGTGGGGTTCGAGTCGGGTCGAGGGCCGGAGCAGATTCACTTGGCGTGGACGGGTCAGGAAGGGGAGATGCGGATGATGTTCGTCGCGGAGGATTCGGAGGAGAGGCACGTGAGGTATGGGGAGAAGGAAGGAGAGTGGGAAGGTGACGTGGCGGTGGCACGTGCGCGGAGGTATGAGAGGGAAGACATGTGTCATGCACCAGCCAATGAGAGCGTTGGGTGGAGGGATCCTGGTTGGATATTTGATGCTGTCATGTCGGGTTTAAAGGGTGGAATCAAATATTATTATCAGGTAAAATTTAATTGTTTTTGGGATTAAAGGATTGTAAATGCTGCTTTTAGATTAATATCATGGTATAACCTGGTTTTGCTCAGTTACCATATTTTCTACTTGATTATAGCATTGATAATCATGTCTTTTACATTTGGAAATAACAAAGCAGGCATATTTGTTGCTAAATTTGGAAATGTTCTACTAGATTGTGTTCTAACTAGAAAAAAAGTTCATTTTCAATAGCTAAATATATTGTTTAAAATGGCTGTGGAAAAATGCTGAGCTCCTACTGTTGGTGAACTAAATTGTTTTGTAGCATTACCATGAAATTGCTCTCTTTCCATTTCTTTGCCCTGTAGTAGCTTACATAGGCGTTTGCTTTTGATCATGAGGAAGGAGTAGGGTTGGGATGCCTAGATTTGAAGTTTGAACCAATGATTTCAGTAAGTGGCTAGTTACTGCCAAGCCTAGAAGTGGTTGGCTATAATTTTCTTTGACAGCTGCATAAAATTATCCATTCAAGTTGATTCATCTGTCTATGTGAAGTGAAAATCGTATATTTATCTGGTTAATTTCTATTATATTGTACTCTTGTTGCTTGTTAGGACTAAGCAAAAATGAAAAACCATCTTTGTCCTTGAAGTCATGGTGTACTCTGGATTCAACTTTAGCAGTTAATTTAGATGATAACTTGCATTACTCCATTTGTCACCTTCTAAGAACAAAAAAATATGTTATTTGTGATAGGTTGGAAGTGACTCCAAAGGTTGGAGCACAACCCGCAGTTTTGTGTCATGGGATGCAAGTTCAAAGGAAACACTAGCTTTCCTATTTGGAGACATGGGAACTGCTACACCATACTTAACCTTTAGTCGTACACAAGATGAAAGCATATCAACCATGAAGTGGATCCTACGTGATCTTGAAGCTCTTGGTGACAAACCTGCTTTTGTTTCCCATATTGGGGATATCAGCTATGCAAGAGGCTACTCTTGGTTGTGGGATGAATTTTTCAACCTAATCGAGCCTGTTGCCTCCAAGGTGCCTTATCATGTGTGTATTGGTAATCATGAATATGATTGGCCTTCACAGCCTTGGAGACCTGAGTGGTCCAATTCAATTTATGGAACGGATGGGGGTGGTGAATGTGGGGTGCCTTATAGCCTTAGATTCCATATGCCTGGCAACTCTTCAGAACCAACTGGAACCCGTGCTCCAGCTACCCAAAACCTTTACTACTCATTTGATATGGGGACAGTTCATTTTGTGTACATGTCAACCGAAACCAATTTCCTTCCTGGAAGCAGCCAATATAATTTTCTGAAGTATGATCTAGAGTCAGTTGATCGGACAAAGACCCCTTTTGTTATAGTTCAAGGGCATAGGCCAATGTACACTACAAGCTATGAAAGTAGAGATGCCCCATTGAGAGAGAGAATGCTTGAGCACTTGGAACCTTTGTTTGTGAAAAACAATGTGACCCTTGCATTGTGGGGCCATGTTCACCGATACGAGAGGTTTTGTCCACTGAAGAACTTCACATGTGGAAGCATGGGGTTAAAGGGGGAGAGCTGGGAGGTATTACCGGTCCATGTTGTGATTGGGATGGCAGGACAAGATTGGCAACCAACATGGGAACCTAGACCAGACCATCCACATGACCCAGTCTACCCACAACCCAAGAGGTCTTTGTACCGCACGGGTGAGTTTGGGTACACTAGATTAGTTGCTACAAAAGAGAAGCTTATACTTTCTTTCATAGGAAACCATGATGGGGAGGTGCATGACATGGTTGAGATTTTAGCATCTGGGCAAGTTCTTAATGGTGGTGATGGTGACAGTGGTAAAGTTGGTGCCTTCCTTAAGGATGAGGCGATGGAGCACTCATTTTCACACTATGTCTGGGGTGGTAGTGTCTTGGTTCTTGGGGGTTTTGTGGGGTATGTTCTTGGTTTTGTTTCACATGCTAGGAAACGAGCTGCCTCAGGAAGGAGCTGGACTCTCGTGAAAAGTGAGGAGACATGAAGAGATTTTGTTAAACGTCATTCTGTGGTTGGAGATGTGGTGGTGTGAGCTTCAAGATTTCAAACCTATTTGCAGTGACACATTGTTATGTGGTTCACAATGATACTCTCGTGCTATTTTGACAAGGATAAGAAGCTGGGATACACCGTACGGTGCCTTGAAGTACTTCACATCTTTAAACCTTTGTAATCATACAAAATTTCTCGCATGGTTCTGAAGTAAAGCACTCCATGACATGCTTCACTTTATTGTAACATGTATTATTTTTTCAGCGTCGTGTCGAATTAAGGACAAATATTTGTGTATAGTGAATCTCATATCAGGTACAAATTAAACATTTTCCTCAATAGTTGTGAATTAAAGAGTTCCATGGCATATTTCACTTCATTGTAACATGTATGACTTTTCATACTTGGTTAACTGAACTGCAATTTTCAGAAGTAATGCGAGAGAGGAGTAATTTGGTTTCTACCAACAGATTGCAAATACAAAATGGAAGATTATATGTGAAGGAAACTGAAGAAAAATCTTGTGTTATTCCATTCAAACCAATGGAGTAAATTCGGAATGACAAATGTTTGGTCCGATGGGAGGGAAAAAATGGGAAAAAAAATGAAAATGTTAGTTAAAGACTGCTAAATACAGGCATGGAAAGCAAAATTTGGTAAAGCTCTGTAACCTTTCACTTGGCAAGCAAATTACGTGCTCGCTGATTGGCACCTTTCACTCGAGAGTTCAGTTCATCCACATCATCATGAAGATGATCAAGAGCTTTATTTTGTCTGCAGTTTACCAAATCATTTCACATAATATAAGACAGAGTGTAACTGAGAATGGGTGGAAAGACATAATCTGGTTCTGGGAATGTGATGTAAATACGCAAAAGAAATACAAGCATGAAACCTGGAATGTCAGAAACATGCCTAGCTTTATCACAACTTAGATGGCTAAGATTTCTATTTTAATTATTCTGAGAAACCCTCATGCTTCACCCAAGAAAAAGGCCGCCATGAAATGCATACTTTCAAGCAGTACAAAAGGCATTTAAAAAACATTAAAGCAGTGCAGAAGTTTACTGGTACTTGGACATGATAAGAGAGAGAGATAACAGACCTGTCAAGTTCAGATCCCATCTCCGCAGCCATGCCCTTGAGATCACCCAAGATGTTACTTAGATCTGAGAGTGCATCATCTTGCTTTGCCTTCTCAAGCTGGTGTTAGATCACCCATTAATCTTATAGCCCCATTGCAGAATTTTTACTAAAAAAATAAGTATACACCCAGCTCAACAATCATAGAGACTAACCTCAACTTTCTGTATGGCATTAGTTGGTTCAGGAGGAAGCGTCTTACTTCCTGGCTTAGCTTTAGGTACAGGAGCCAGACCCAACTTTTCTCTCTGCTCCTTATGGTTTTCACTTTTCTTGGATGACTTATCTGCCAAAAGCATTGCAATAAACAATCAGTCATTCTAATTACCTTTCAAACATTCCCATATTTCAGTTAACAACTTCCATATAAAGGGAAAATGTTTGAATAAATTAGTACACGAAGGGACTGAAGAAGTTGTATGAGATGAAGAAAACCTGAGGTGACTACAGGCCCTGTAATATCTCGGGTCTTCTTTGGCTTCCAAGGCTTAGAAAACATGCCGCCCAGACTATTCAAAAGCTTCTCACCCTGAATATTTCAAAGTTTATAGAATCTGGTTAACAGGAAATGTAGAACACAAGAAACAACAATATGAATTGTAAATGAGGGTTTGAGTGTAAAAAGGAAGAAAGTTCTTAGAACATCAAGTGCTAGTCTATTTCCAAACTACAATCACAAGTTATTTTCAATGAATAATCTGGTTCTTTTGATCATCTGATTGCGTCTAGTGCTCGACTGGCTTTCCATATGAGAGAATCAAATAACATCATATGATCCAAAATACCAGCAGACTATAGGCATCAATCACCTATCGACCAAGAGATAAGGCAACATGTTTACCTACAGCTTTATAGGTATGAATAGCTAAGCTTATAAGCATCAAAAGTATACACTTTCCAGTACATAAACACATGCTTAAGCCATAGAAATTCTATGTTTGAGTCTCAGACAATTTCATTAACTTAAAGCCCTACCATGAACAGATGCACATGCTCCTTCATCATGTCAAAAACAAAATTTTATCTGGTATAACGGCAATTAAAGAGGCCAATAATGATTAACATCCAGACCATGATAAAATCTCAATGCAGATCAGAGAGCGTTGTGTCATTTCGATTTCCAAAATGATCCTGACAAATAGTCTTAAAGGTTCAAAAATTTCCATTATTTTAACTATATTTTCCAGATTCTTCATCTACCCTTCATGTTGATCTTGTGTACAAAACTTGCAGCAAAATACAAGACTATAGAACCTACCTTACTCAAATCCTTATCTATGTCAACAGCCATGGCGTGGGTCCTTTCAATTTGCTCTCCTTGTTGATGCAAAGTATCAAGTGTCCTTGTAGCATCCTCTCTGATATTCTCAGCAATCTTCAAGCAGTTATTAACAGTACTTGTTGTCTCCTCAGCCTTGTAAACAGCATAATTCTCCAGGTCTTCCATAGTCTGGTTCTGTAGTCCTCCAGAGTCGCGGAAATCATTCTTGTACCTATCTCGATCTCTTGCTGGCGATGGCCTTGTGGATGCTGAAGTTTGCTTTCTTCTTCCATGGTCATCATCGTTGAAATCTGGGACCAAGAGCACAGGCTCAGAAGCAGTTCTTCTAGCAGGTGTAGTAGTATTCCTGTTATCTTCAGTGTCAGAATCACATGGGGTGGAACCACCAGAAGCAGCTGGTGGGTCCACTGACTTCTGCCTAGGTCTCATAAATCCAAACATTTTGTCAAGTGTAAAATTGCCTGTTTAGGAATCTAAAATCCAAGAAAGGAAACGATAGGTACACCTTGAAAGTTGATTCTTCAACAAAATGGTACCTGAGAAACAAGAGATTGTAACGTCCAATTATCATTAGCACAATGAGGCAAATAAACATGGCATAGAAAACTGAGATAATAAATTAACAACAATGAGATGCTGATTAACTAATGGGGAATGCCATCCAAATCTGAAAGGAACAAGATCAGGCAATAAAGAGGAAAGGACCCATAACTTAACTATATCACATGCAAAGAATTTCTAAAGAAGAAAACAACAAATTCAAGCAAATTTAACAAAAGGGCACCTCAGAAAAACTTGGAATTGAACAAAAATGAGGACGAAAACTTGATACACAAACCCAAGAAGGAAAACCAAAGTTTGGGTTTGTGTGCAAAAGGGAAGTTATCAGGAAATAGGGAAGACTAAGAGAAGGAGAGGGTTTCTTTTTATTTCTGATTATAGTTTATTTGTTGTCTTGCAATCCTCTCTCTCTCTTTGATCAAACAGATGGGAGGCGCCCCGGAAAAGGAGAGCAAGCCACCTTTGCAATAACCTCCAAAACTGCAGGAGGTCTCCCTCTTTAGAACCGTTGGAATTTGAATTTCTGTTGCATTTCCCCGTTATGGAATAAAATATTGGTTTTGCTTCCTTTCTATCCTTTCTAATTTTAGATTTTGTTCTTATACGGGCTAGCGTACCAAGCCCAAGCCGCGAGACAGGGATTGGGTTTTGATTTGGGCCATGTCAGGCCCAACTCCTTTAAGACCATTATATGAATTATCTTTGCAATAAGAAAATATTTCCATTAAAAAATAAAAGACAAGATAATTTTTTAATTACAATAGGTCAAAAAAAAAAAAAGATGAGTAATCTTAATAGAGGTACTAACATTTTTTAATTTGATTCTAATGTATTATTTTCGTATTATTTATGAATAGTCGAACCCTTAAATTTAGATTATTTATATAACAAATAAAATAATATTCTTTTTTTATAAATTTTTATTATTTGTTAATTATGATAGTTTTTATTGTTTTTTAATAATGATAAAAAAAATCAATACCAACGTTGTAATTCGATTCGAATAACAAAATTTGTTTTCAAAAATAAATGATAATTTGATTCACTTTTTAATTATAGATTGATTTTCTCAAGAAAATGACAATTCACACCACCAAAAAAAGTGGGCGAGAATCAAAATAGAAATATCATCATTGCTTATCATTGCATAAGAATGCGGTTCTTGTAAGACATGAGAATATAATTATTATTGAATTCATAAAAGTAACTTTCTCGTTATTCGAAAAATTAACATTATTATTTTATTTTATTTTTTTAATTTTTTTACGATTGAGAAAATAAAATAAAATAAAATTTACCAGAAGAGAAGAAAACTAAACAAATTTAATTTAAATGAAAAAAAAAAAAAGGACAGATGTGTAAAAGTTTCTCATCATTTTTGCAAGTGAAAATATCTCTATGTTAGGACAAGCCCCACTTGATTGGACTTTGACAATTGGGACATGGACACCTCTTTGGCCATCGAACAACAACAAAAGCTCCAAGTGCTCCATGTGACCAAATTCTCCTGCTTGCCTTTGTACGGTCCTCTTTTCCCGACAGACGGTGCATGCTTCAATTGCTGCCCCCCAACTCAATCTTTGTTCTTGTCAGAACAGTCCGACTCTCTTAAGTTATTATAAGTACTATTATTATAATAGTTTCATAACTACTTATCTTTTATGTTATGCAGTATTAATTTTCATACATTAACATATTATATTAAATAATAATATGATATATTAATATAATTATGTCATTTATCATTTATATCATATAATATTATTCTTAATATATTATCATTTGTATCATATAAATCTTAATATATTAATATATTATATTAAATAATAATATGATATATTGATATGATTATATTAGTGTTATATGAATCTTTGTATAAATATATAAAATGATAAATAATATTTTAATTAATAATAATTGTATAAATTTTTCATCGTTTAGAACGTGAGAATGGGAGATGGATGGAACAGTAGTAGGTGGAGAGACTTGAAAGGGAGAAGAGAAGGCGTCAAAGCGAAGATAAGACGACAAAAGCAACACTCTCTCTTTCACCCATTTTCTTCTCTTTTTATCACTCTCTCTTCAGGAGGGGTAGTGACTAGTGAGAACTAAGGAAACCATAAACAATGGCGTCTCTGCCTTTCTCGGCTACTTGTTCTCATCACTCCACCTTCATAGATTTTAACTATACAGCAAAAAACTCAAAGGTTTTCTTCCTCAGAAACTCACGTTTTGCTTCCTCAAGGAGGAATTTCTTTGTCAAAAGTGTTGCTAGCGACCAAAACCAGGACCTCAAAGAAGCTCAAGTCACTGAGGAAGGTTTGGTTTACCTTTAATAACTCTTGCTTTCCAAGTAGATACTTTGTTGTTTGATTGAATCCAAGGTAGTGTTTGCTACTCTCTATCAGTAAGCAGGGAACCCTTTTTAAGGAAAGAGATTTGTAATTAATGCATTGTAAATGTAAAAATCTTTCCTAAAATAGTATTTTTGAGGATTCTCTTTTTCTTTTCCCAGTTAAATCTTGATCATTGTGGGTTGCTTTCATCTGCAGGTTCTCTAGATACCTTTGTTCCAGATTCTGCATCCATTGCATCAAGCATTAAATACCATGCTGAGTTCACACCATCTTTCTCTCCGGACCATTTTGAGCTCCCCAAGGCATTTTATGCAACTGCTGAAACTGTTCGAGATTCACTTATTATAAACTGGAATGCTACTTATGAATACTATGAGAAAATCAATGTAAAGCAGGCTTATTATCTTTCTATGGAGTTTCTACAGGTTTGCCATTTAACTACTTCTTCTTCTTCCTGCTAATGAAATTTATATAGGTTGTGAAACATCTTACCTCACCATTCTTCCAGGGTAGAGCTTTGCTGAATGCAATAGGTAATTTAGAGCTTACAGGAGCTTATGCAGAAGCTTTGAAGAAGCTGGGACACAATTTGGAGGATGTAGCAAGGGAGGTTAGATGTCTTCTTGATGATTCCATCATATATGGATTCTTCTTTCTGTTTATAATTGGGAATTCCTATTAAGAAAATTTGTTAAGTGTGCACATGTCCATTTTTTAGGTTGCTAAAATTTTTCAGTTGATTGCGGACTAGGAACCAGATGCTGCCCTTGGAAATGGTGGCTTAGGACGTCTTGCTTCATGCTTTCTGGACTCCCTAGCAACACTAAATTACCCTGCTTGGGGATATGGACTTAGGTACAAGTATGGACTGTTCAAACAGCATATTACAAAAGATGGTCAGGAGGAAGTTGCAGAAAATTGGCTTGAGGTATCTTTTATTACATCCTTATTATGAGTCAAAACAATTTCAATTATGAAATACTTAGATTGATTTGTATTTCTAAATAGTCTCAATAGGACCTTTAGTAATAACACAGTGATTTCAAGGGTTGAATCAATGTCAATTATATTGCAGATGGGAAATCCATGGGAAATTGTGCGAAATGATGTGTACTACCCTGTGAAACTCTATGGTGAAGTCATTTCTGGCCCAGAAGGAATTAAACAATGGGTTGGAGGAGAAAATGTAATGGCTGTTGCTTATGACGTTCCAATACCTGGATATAAAACTAAAACTACAATTAACCTCCGACTATGGTCTCCTAAAGTTGCACCAGATAAGTTTGATTTACGTGCTTTCAATGCTGGAGGTCATGCGAAAGCATACGCAGCAATGAAGAATGCTGAAAAGGTTTGAATTCATAATCATTTGGAATTTAGTTTTACACTGAAATGTGTGAATTCCTGCATGCTGTTGTCTGTTGATGCACTTGAAAGCCAAGAAGTTGTCGTGGTGGTGGCAGAAACAGGACAACTATCTTGAATTTGAGTGCTTTGTATCACACAGTTTGTGCTGGCTTCCAAAATTATGTTTACATCTCTTGCATGATTGGTAAAATATTTTATCAAGACCAGATTTGCTACATATTATACCCTGGTGATGAGTCACTTGAGGGGAAGACTCTTCGACTGAAGCAACAATATACATTATGCTCAGCTTCTCTCCAAGACATCATTGCACGCTATGAAAAGAGATCAGGAGAGTCTAAGAATTGGGAAAATTTCCCTGACAAGGTAGCAGTTCAGATGAATGATACTCATCCAACGCTCTGCATTCCAGAGCTGATACGGATATTGATGGATGTGAAGAGTTTGAGCTGGGAACAAGTCTGGAATATCACACAAAGGTACTTACTCTCATGGACTTAAATGCTATACATTGTTTTGAAAGAGCTGTTCTGGTATTTATATGTTCGTGTTCGATAAGTTGCATTAGACTTATGCTATCCATCCTATGAAGTTTTACATCTTTGCAAACAACTGGAATATCTAGAAAGAAGTACTATATTATCTGATACTATAAATTGGTTTCTGGTTATAGTGGATTGTATGTATATTGATGATGACCTTTCCTCCAGAACTGTTGCATACACTAACCATACAGTTCTGCCAGAGGCACTGGAGAAATGGAGTCTGGAGCTAATGCAGAAATTGCTTCCTCGACACGTTGAGATCATTAGAATGATTGATGAGGAGGTAACTTTAGCGGCAATATGGTGATTTTTAGGTCCTCTCTAGGAGATATATCTAGTGTATGGATCAAACTAAAGTTCTCCTTTTCTTGAAGATTAGATATTCTTTTCCACACAATCTAACACCTCTCTTTATTCTGTGTATCAGCTGACTCAAACTATTATTGATGAGTATGGCTCAGAGGATCTGGAACTGCTGCAAGAAAAGCTGAAACAAATGAGAATTCTAGAAAACATTGAGTTGCCTCGGTCAGTAGCTGAATTGTTTGTTAAATCAGAAAAAAGTTCTGTTGTTGATTCAACTGAAGAAGATGATATTTCTAATGAAGAAACTAAGCCAATGGAGGAGGAAGACCAACTTGAGGAACAGGACATTGAGAACAAAGATGAGGTGACACCAATTGAGCCAGATCCAAAACTTCCCAAGATGGTCCGAATGGCTAATCTATGCATTGCTGGTGGCTATGCAGTGAATGGTGTTGCTGAGATTCATAGTGAAATAGTGAAAAATGAAGTTTTCAATGAATTCTACAAGGTAGCCATTCAAATGGGATAAACTTTTCCTTCTCCAATTCAATGTATTTTGACAAACCGAAGCATTGGTTTCATTTTAGGACTTATGTATAGTTTGCTTTTTGGCAGTTGTGGCCTGAGAAATTTCAAAACAAAACAAATGGGGTTACACCAAGAAGATGGATTCGCTTTTGCAATCCAGACTTGAGCAAAATTATAACTAAGTGGACTGGATCAGAAGACTGGGTTGTAAATACAGAGAAATTGATGATACTTCGTAAGGTACAGTGGCAAATCCAAACTTGAAGTTAATCAAACGTTTTAATTCCTTTTAGTTTCCAACAAATATAGTTTCTTCACCAGAAATTTCTGTGCATCTTGTTGTAATTCTTGTTAGCCA